TTTGCGGAAATATTCAATCAGAGTGAACATCATCATCATTATGTAACTAGATATCAACGTTATTTAGAAATACAATCTCAAAAGCAAGAAATCGGAAAATAGAATTGAACATTACAAATTTTTGGAGTAAAATGCCAGAGACATTTAAAAAAACATGTTTTGTGAAACTGACCACAAAGGTGGCAAACATCAGACCCAGTAATTTAAAAAAAAAATTGCAGAACTAGGAATATAAATAATAATAATTTTCAACTTGACATTAATATCCCATAGACGCTAAGAGCTGAGAGAACAGAAATAAATATTTACACACTCTGTATTTTGTAAACGAATCGCTTTCAGTTTTGATCAGAAAATAGACAACCAAAATTATGCATACCTACGTGTAAATTTTGAATGACCCTGTAAAATTAAAGCTTAAATTCGAGGAAAGTGTGTGAAAAAATTCAAATTCAATTAAATAAATTCAAAGCGATTCAGGGCGACTCAACATTGTATTTTGTAACGAGTAAAACATTTATGGGCGTATTTAAAACATTTTTTAATGGTATTTCTTAATTAATCTTTTTAATTTGGGCTTTTTGCAGAAATAATTGACCGCAGTTTGTTCAAGAAGCATTAATGTAAATTAGGTGTAATCAGATAAATTAGATTGTTAAGAGACTTAATTGCTGGTGAAATTTGGCAGCGTAAAAAAAGTTCTAGAAGCATCAAAACAGAAGGGCGTTTAATTCGTTTCTTTAAAAGGATCTAATTTTTGTCTGGTAGTTATCGTGTACTAAAGTACAAGAATGCGAAACATATGTGCGATTTTGAACGATTTTTGTGATAAAATAGAACATTTCTAGAACATTTTAAAATCAGTGATAACGGCAGGAAAGGGTGAAATAAAAAGAACTTTATTGGAGGAACATTTCTAGTACATTTTATAATCAGTGATAACGGCAGGAAATGGTGAAATAAAAAGAACTTTATTGGAAGAACTTCTTTGGAAATATTTTAAAAGAAAAAATATTAATCCTGTGTATGTGTCGCTAAATAATCCGTGTGCAACTTTATTTTGCGATTATACACGAATTCTTCTCTAAATTGAAAAAGTTTAATTTGGCTTTCGGTTTTCTTGATATTGTGATATACAAACAAAAAAAAATTAATCAAGACAATTTTTACGGTTGAAAAATTTAACATACTCTTTCCAGAGTTAGGGAAGACCCGCCGCCTCTATACATAGATACATATAAATTTGTTCACTCCTCATGGAATCCTATTACCTAGCTTGATTTTAAATACGAAATCCCAGAAATGAATCAGATTTAAGTTACAGTTTCGTAAAGTAGTTTATAATTACATTGAAGTTTGGGGCGTGAAGTTTATAGAAATAAACTGTAGGTGTCTGCGTTACAATTCAAATTATAAAGTTAGAAACGAATCAAACTTTAGCACCGCCTGTATATTTTGCTGGAAACTTTCGTCATTAGGAATATACAATTAGCTGGAGTTTTAACTTTGAGCGGATAAGAGGAGCTTAGAAACTGCCAGCCTTCCCATTTCATCTCAATAGAAAGTCAGGAAACTTGTACAAGGTAAAACTTAACTCATTTGCTTATTTTCCTTTAATTTTATTATCGCTAAGGCAAACAGGTGCAAGTTGGGATGGGATCAGATAATATCATTTATACTAAGTAAACGAAAAATACACCTATTAAATTAAGATTCAGGATGCACAAATATCAGAGCTATCAGCACACTAGGACTAATATTGAGGTTCAGAATTTAGGATTATAAAGTTCAAAATGTACCCAAAGACCTATGCAAAACCAAAATCGCCATTTATTAATCAAAATCGAGTTTTCATTAAATTTGAAACTTTTGAGGCAACCCCTTTAAGGGAAAAAATGGCTGAGATTTTGTACATCAATAGATCTTTTAGAATATGTTTTCTTCGGCTAGTAACCTGTGTTTAACTGTTACTACGAGAAAGTACGACATTGCAGCACATTTCACTTTAGGGTAAAATACGTTAAATTATAAACATTATCGCTGCCCTTAATGATGCAAGGTTTTATGGAAGAAAAAATGTTTTCGGTCTGTGCTTGAAGCAGCCCGACATTTTCTACAAACATTTCAATTTTATTTTGTAGGGAATCTTGGGGGAGAGAAAATCTTCCCGATTCGTTCTATTTTATTAAAAGCTGCCATGCCATTAAACACTGTTGTTGAACACTTTCAGACTGTGTGATGATCTGCAAAATGTATTCAACGATATACATTTTGACTTGACAAGTTCTTGTGATTTTTTAAAATTCACCATTGACTATTGAGCTACTTTCAACTATTTTCGAAACAAATCATTTTCTTCATTTTTCAATGCTTTGGTAAGGGCTTGAAAGAAACGTTCAGTCTAAAAAACAGCAAATCGTCCAAAGCTGAATCTAGAGCTTTAGAATAATTTAAGCTTCTCAAAGGGCGGCACAAGACTTCCACGAAAATTATTTTCACACGCATCCAAAAAAAATCCGGTAGAAATTGAATGAAGACAAGGCAGGAAATGTTAGCAGGGTAGCTTGAAAAGTTCAACTGGTAATTAATATTGAAGAAGATATGGAAGAAGATATATTAGATAATAGGAGGAAGAACTGTTGAAGGTTTGCTCGCACTTGCAAATGACGTTTTTCTCATTAACAAGCCATACATTTCTGAAAAACATGATAATTTTATTGATTTCTCTATGACATCGTTTGTATAATCAGTTTGTTTTGTTTCGTTTCACTTTTCAACATTTTGTTTTTTAATTGCGTGTTAAGACGTCTTCGTTGTGGCTCGCAAAACTGCACAATATATCACGAAACTGCTCTACTTCAGTTCATAACTTTACTTCGCAACATCAGTTTTCATTGATTATAAGGTTTTCCAAATTTTTTTACTGCAGCTTGATCTTAAATAAAATGTTTTACTTGCTTCCTCAAGCTATTACATGCTGTAAAGTTCCGTGATAAGTTTATTTAAGATCAATTACTCAAAACAATCAAGGCAAATCTCCACTACACCTCCAATGGTTTTCCATGCCTGGCCTGGTTATTATTTCTTTCAAACGCAAAACGTTCGCGCGTTCGGTTCTGTTAATAAAAACATCGTGGATTCTCTGCGTTGTTTAAGTGAAACCTACACCTACTTTAACCGTTTTCAATATTTTAAGTCTTGAAAAATATTTTAAGAAAACTACCCAAAAATACGCTATAATCCTAACAGGTTATCACTGTATAACTGATATTTCGGGAGAAAATTAATTCATGTGAATTTTTCCGTACAGATTTTTTTATTTGTATCTAATATTTATATGCTAGTACCTACGCTAGTAGTTTTCCAAATGCCCATTGAACTTCTTTAAATATGTATTGCTTAAAATAGAAAAGTTGAAATTTCGACTTCTAAAACTAATGTTTTCGAGAAATAACTTCTGTTTTAACAGGTTTCCTCGCCTTCTTCTAGTAAGCCCCCGAATTCTTATAAAAAAGTCCTGAAAGTTTATTCGGTTCCTTTTTGTCAACTGCATTGTTACCTTCGAGTAGATAACATGCACATACTTTTTATTTAATAGCAACGAGTCAATCTAAAAAATCTTTGAAAATGAACAATTCGGAGTTTCACATAACTTACGAAAATTTGAAGATCTGGAAAAAATGTAACAGAACGAACTAAAACCAAAAATCGCTACTGAAAATCCACTAACTGAAAGTCAGCCATTTTGCCATCCCCATTATAAATATTTGAAATGGATTTTACCAAACAATTTTTAATAATAGTGAAAAAAATATTGCTTGTTACATGTGAAAAATTTATCCAAACGTATTTTTAAATTTCAACGTAAAATATCCAGAGGGCACTTGAAAGTCTGAAGGGTGAAAACAGGATTTCGGAAACTGGACACTGGTCAGTTCGCTCGTAAATTAGAACGAGTTTTTATTGTTCAACGCAGCTGGACTTTAACAAGCCTTATTTTGTCCAGTTGTAACAACTTTCTGGCAGCCAGTTTGTATACATTGTCGGTTTATGCCTACAGGGTGTTTCATGGCATGTATTCATACATAACTATTTTAAAGCTTTGAAACTAGAATTGAATGAAAATTACTTGAAGCACAGCAGCTTTATTAAATGTTTAGGTCCGGACTAAAATGTCTAGATTATCACCACATACAGGGTGGACCCATAAAAATTGCCACTTGTTTTGTCGTAAAAAACACGAAATGCTCAAGTACGTCATTATCTGAACTAAAAGGCATAACTTGTTTCTGCACTTTCAACACTCTATGCTAGTGAGGAACACAAATAATGAATTTCTAACTACATTTCTAAATATGTTCCAAGATTTTGACAAGCTCTCCAATCAACAGGGATGAGAAAAGTGGATTCAAACTGGCCGGCCAAAATTAGGATAAAAAATTAATAGTGAATTAGCACTTGCTCCTCTGGTCCATTTTAAATTTTAAGAATTATATTCGCCCCCGCATAGTGGGTGAAGTTGGAGTGTTAACAGGACAGGAAAAAGTTGCCGCTCTTAAATAAAAAATTGAGATGTTAGAGCACTTTCTACTGGAGTGTGGAAGCTTCTCATTGACCCTCCTTGACTTTCTCTCAAATAAGAAATTCTTATGAATGTTCTGTGGAAAATTTAGCAAGATATTTCAGTTTATTTCAATATTTTTTAGCGAATGGCGACAATTGGCACTTTCGAAGTTTATTCATCGTTTCCAGTGTTGGAAACAGAAACCTGTTTCTTTGGAAGCAACCCCGTGAGAACTTAAGATAGGGTCACTTTTCGGGTCACTACGGTCCAAACCTGCCCTCGTTTAAGCGGGCCATGGTCAAGAAACAATTGCCAGCCCGAACAATTGACGATCGGGACTGTCCATCTAAGCTGGCGACTAGTTTTTCTTGTTTTTGATGATATGGTAATTTTTTCGCAGCTCGATATTCATGAGTCCTTTAGTTCGGCTTTGAATTTTCGATCGGAAACATCAGCTCGACAATCGCAACTTTCAGTACTGCCTTAAATTGAAATTTAGTGATTTGATTTATAGTTTGTATTTGCTACTGGGTGAGTTAGTGTTCATGTTTATAAGGTGCATTTGGCGTTTGGGAATTATCCGTTTTTACTAATTAGGCCTAAGCTATTTTAACTTTTTCGTGTTTTCCGTTCAATTTATTTCATAAAAGTTGTGAATTTTTGCTCAACATTGCTAAAGGCTACACTGCTTGGAAGCTGGTCTCATTACAAAATAAAATTGCGTCAAATTTCTAGTCCTAAGTGAAAATCGCACGATAATAATAATAATAAATGTCTTTCCTCGGCGGTTGGCACCCCTAGCACATTTTGGCGGTTTACATTAAATTAAAATTAATTCTTAACCTGATTAGGATCGAGAGGGTTACGTGAAATTTAATCAATTTTCTGTATTAGATCCTTATTATAGGAAATCGCTGATTTTCGGTTAGATTCTATTAAAATTTCCCCGATGGAGTTAAGATCCTTTCCTTGAAATAGAAGGGTTTTATATTGATTTCGGCTCCGGTAATGGGGATTTGTAAGTTATCATTAAACAGGGTTTACAGAAATTGTGTCGCAAACTTAATACAGTTATGGTGTATTTGAAAGAAACCAAAATGTCATAGGGGTCGATTTTCTATTATGGATACTTAAAATAATTCAATGACCGAAACTTAGTAAAATTTAATAAACATTCTAGAAAGTAATGTAAAAATCTTCAGATACGTACATTTATGAGAGTTCAAATGGAATCGGAACGATTCAAATGAGTTTTTCTCAAATTTGGAACGCTCARTATGTATCTAGTKCTATCGATAGGATTTTAATTGCTTCATAAGATTCTGGTTTTGGCCCGAATTTATGGTCATTATTCTTCCCTAAAATAATTAAAAGATATGAAACWTTTCTCACAATTGAACAATTTATCATTTCAAGCGAATTGTGAGTATTAATTTAACACACTTTAATGTATTGCATTGTAYGTATTTACAAAAAAAAWTATATRAAAKKTTTTGCATCATCCTCAGCTTAACTAATTGTTTAAACTTTTAAAGCTCTARACTTTTTATTCYGAACTTGRAAAATTKAATTAAWTACATTTTCCAAKATGTCAAATAGCGATCGCTTTCGTCGTACAGGACGTTGAAATTTAAGGAAAAAATAGCTTTTAATCAATATCTTATRGATTTCGTTGYTGTTTTTGTGGAAATTTRTTAAAYCGATTAATTTCAATTCTTGTTARGCATCACCAMASTACTACAAATTCTGCTTGAACATGTAGACCTARAAGAAAGCATTTGTGAAGAATGTGTTTTTATTTTMTTGATTTGCTTTAGTAACKWKTTTCRTTYTTTTTTMAATTATGYGAAACTCATCTTGAAATTTAGTTTTTCAGTTTTAGTGACGTWTTTTCWAAAARTGTAGTGGGTACATGTGTACAAMATATATGYTTCAATTTAATGTTACTGAAATTCTACGCCTCAAAAAATTGTGTGTTCCTTAAYCACTCTTGTAAGTCCAGAGTCTATTATCAAACTGAAAGAGTTTTGCGAAGATCACTTTACACGCTTAAAAAGTTTAATTTAAAATTTGGACAACGTATCTATTTCTATTCTGTCTATTTGGACCTAAGAATGGCTACCGAAGATGTCCTGAATTACTCATGAATGACTCTTTATATTACAAGTTCACGTTTCTTAAGCATAGAAATGCGCAATTAAATAAAATCATTTACCTCTCGCAAAATATGATATTTTAGATCTCACAAAGTATGTTTGAATTTTAGTTCCACGTTTTCTTGAGTGCAATTAAAACTAAATTTCGGAAAACTGCGAACGCCTCAACCTAAGGAAATTAGAATGATTATATAATCCCCAATTAAGATTTCTGGACATAAATCAACTATCGAACTAATTAAAGGGTAATTTTGACAATTCCCGCTCCAACTGTAACCGAGTGGAAAATTGCTTTGGAGGAAAATAGCGTCTTAAAAGGAAAATTTATACTCGTTCGCGAGTCGCGCGTTTCGCCTCGATAAATTTCCCGGGCAAACCACGCCCTTCGCTTTTAAACTTGTATATTTCAAGAAAATGAAACTTTCCTTTGACATTATGAACTAGAAAGGTGCCTTTAATATAAATTATCTGGCGTTGTGTAAAACAAATTAACACGTTCTGTCCCACTTTACTTGAAGAGAGATATCGTTGTACGAGGGTTGTTGGTTGACTATCAATTTTAGTCTAGTTTTTTAATTTTTGGTTAATATACCAACTAATACATGACAATATATGAAGTTG